TCCCTACAGGCCAAACCGGACCCAAAACCACGCAAAACATCAAGAAAAGGGGTTGGAGCCGCCTCTAGAAAGTTGAAGCCGGCTCCCCCCTTAGTGGAACCACCTCCACTTCATGTGGAGCTAGCTCTACCCCTTGTAGAGCCGGCTCCTCAAGCCCTAGAGCCGGCTCCCTCTTTTGGTGAGTCGGCTCTCTTCCTTTGAGAGCCGTCGTCCGTTCCTGTTTGTCGTCTCCAACTCCGGTGACTAACAAAGCCTCTGTAATGTGTTTTAATTCTACTTCTAGGTTCAATCTTAGTCCTAGATAAATTTAAACCACTAAGATCCAATCCTAACATGCATAGAAACACAAGTTTTAAAACCACGATTATAGAACCACTATTAGAAATCTTTTAAGCAAATCACAACAGACTTAATGCAGATTACTTTAGTACAATTAAAGACTGTTCTAAACACTTGTTCTAGAGTTCAAACTCAATTCTAGATTAAGTACAAGGCATCCAAACATATTACTAATCTCAATTCAAGCAACGCTTAATCGTAAACCACATAAGGAACAAATAACAGAAAAATCAACAATCATTAATTCACGAGATTAAACAAAATTCTTATATGTATAAAACATGTTATTATGTTTGTTTACAACCATTTTAACCTTTATTAAATCCCTGGAGTTCAACTAGGCATGCACAGAACACGAATTAAAGGGAAAGAGAAGAACAGTGACTTGCCTTGAGTTTCAGTTTTGAAACTCTAAACCACCGTCTTTGAAACTTCTGTCCACGTCTGAGACTCTTGTTCTACACCTCAGGTGCTCTTGGTTCAACCCAGAAACATTCTGTCTAGAAATCCTTGAACCTCTCTGTGTATCCTAAGGTTCACGCTCTGTTTCTCTCTGTCTCTCAATAGGGTTTGTTCGTAACCCTATACCAAAGTATATTGTTGTATATATATAGACTTTTAAAACCAAAACCCTAATCCTTATAATATTACAATTATGAATTAATAAAGCCTATAAACGGAGTTGGCTGCAACTAAAACAATATAAAACCCTAATTTACAATAAACGCATTTAAAAAATATTAAACTTAAAAATAATTCAATTAAAGCAATAATAATAAAAAGAAAAACAATTAATTCAAGTAATTCAAATCATCACAATTAATTCAAAAAAAATTCAAATTAAATCAAACAATTCAACAATTAATGAAAATACACACTTAAACAATTTAAAAATGCAATAAAAACAATTGATAAAATACCAAAATTATCCTTTTGAATTTAGGGGTATTACACTTAGCCACTCTTCTGGCCAAGTCAAACAATTCATGAAATTGTACACCTTCAAACTTCTTACGAAGTTCAAATTTTAGGCCGTTCACAGCCATCTTCATATATTCTTCTTGCGGCAAAAACAAATTACATTTGTACTTGGTCCCCCTGATTCTGGAAAGGAGCTCTTCACCGACTCTCCAAGTAGTTGATGAAGTCTGGAAAGGTCTGCCATGGACACTACAGGCTCAGCTCTATAAAACTGAGTATGGAATGAATCCTCAAATTGCTGCCAATTTTGGATGGAGTTGGCTGGCAAGTTGGAATACCACCTGAAAGCATATCCAGTCAGTGTGTTTGGAAATAAACGTACTTTTAGCTATGGAATAGCTGCAACTTCTCCACATTGGACAGTGAACCGACTGATATGTTCCAAGGTAGACTGTTCGCCCTTTCCATTGAACGTTGTAAACTCTGGAATTATGAAATTCCTTGGAAATTCAACTTCATCAATGAACTCTAGATAGGGCTTTTTGTAAGTTGGCCTTCCACCCCTTCGAGTTAGACCGAATTCCTGTTAAAGGAATTCTGCAAATTGGCCTCTATCAAGCGCTATAGGCTGTGGAGGGTTGCTATCTGGCAATCCTTGAGGTTGATTGGCCACTTAATGCCCTCCATTTGCCATTGGCAGTAGGTTGGCATCTCCATAGTTGTTCTTGCCACAATTCCTTCCTCATTGGTCAAGAAATGGTTCTCTTGGAAAAGGATGCCCCCCAACCGCCATTGGAATGACCATAGGTGGCCTTGTTGGAACAGGTGCGGCTGGCTGAATGTTCAAAAGTGAAATATTCTGTTGTGCTTCAAGGATGTGGTATGGCCATGGTTGGCCAGGCTGATCATGCCAAGTCTGCTGTGGGAACACCACAGGTGGAGGGTTCTGAACTTGCTAAGTGACTGGCATGGACACTGCTTGTGGAACAGTCATCTGTGCCACTGGAGCAGTCACAGGTGCAGCTAGAATGTAGGTCTGTGCCATTGGAAAAGATTACACATGCTGCTGAGTTGGAGGGAACGGCCATGCTTGCTGTTGAGAAGAACTACCTTCAATAAATATGGCCGGCCTACTAGCTTGGAAGGTCGACTGTTGAAACCCTTCAGAGTGGTTTGGCTGAGGGGCCAAACCTTAGTTTGAGCTTCCAAATGTCCGTTCCAACATAAACTCGAACCTTTGAGAGATTCAGTCTACCAATTCTTCTAACTTCTGGTCTTGAGAAAGAATAACTTTAGATTAGTCTTGAGCAACTCTGGCTAAGTCTTGAGCGACTTTTGCTTGGTCTTGCGTAAACCTATCTTGCTGCATTGCCATCATGCGGATGTTATCCATGATGGGTCCATTTGCCATTATTTGAGCAAATTTTTCCACCATATCATTTTTATCAGGTGCAAATCATGAACTTTCGACTGGAAGTTCATTGGCTTGCATCTTTTCTAATTCGGCAGGGTCTTGGATAGACTTGCCTTGCCTTCTTCTACCGGCTATTGAACAATCTGTCTAGATGTCTCGCCGGGCGTGCCAAGAATGTTTGGCTCCTAGAAACCGTGGTTCTTTCCAAGTGTGGAAAGGAGGGTGAATGTTGGGCGTGCCAGGAACTGCTGTCGTTCCAAAATGGATATCCGAACAACTATCCAGTAAGAGATTGTAGGGATCAGGCGATTAAATAAAGGACTAGAATTACCACCTTCAAATGTTCTTTCTGCCTTGAGAAAAGGACTTTTGGACTGATATATGGCTAGTGGAAAGGAAAACGGTATTGAAAGTGTAGGACTTCAAAGTAAAGTGCTGGAAAGTAAGAATAATAAGTGCAGGACTTGAATTAAACATATTGAAAATGCATTACATGAATGTAAAGAAATTGAAGTGCTGTTTTGCTGTGTGATTTGAACAAGGTTTGCAAACTACCTCTAAGTGTTCTATTTATAGAGCTTCATGCATTTAACAGCTTGATGTGGCAACTCCAGCGATTTCCACGTGGCCAGATTTTGGACTGCCAAGTGCCCTATGATCCCTTGGCAGTTATAACTTCTTCCTTCCATCTTTTTCCTCCTCTGTCGCAGACTTCAGCCATGTTCTCTTTATCAATTGACAGATGTCCCACGTTTCTATTCTTCTTCCTCATGTTGTCGACTTCTTTCCTTATTTCAGACATGATTTTATCAGCTTTAGCCATGTCATCCATGATGTTCCCTTATGAAGTTCCACCACTTTCAACCGACGTACTCTTGTTTGGCCAAGTGTCCCACGATTTATAGTAGTCTTCCCATTCTGTAAAACCTTCTTTTCATGGCATCGTGGTCTCTGACTTTGATATATATATATATCAAAATTTTAATTGCCCACATCTCTCAAACTTTGATAACTTCCATTCTGAGACTTTCCTTCTGAACTTTAGAATTCATGGCGCCATAAACTCCTGAATTTCAGCAACTCCTTCATAGTGGGTATTTTTCAGAATACACACACACACACACACACACACACACATATTTATCCAACCCACTCTATTTTCTTCTGTAGACCACGTCTCCTTGATTTTAGGCTGAACCTTCCATGTTAACTTCATGGCGTCGTGGTTTTTTTCCATTCTTCCACTGACTTTACATCGTGGGTTATGGTTGTAGCACACTTCCTTAATTTTAGCAACTTCCCTTCAACCTTACCTCATCTGCATTTAGAACTCATGGTGCCATGGACTCCTTTTTCATAGTGGTTACTTCATCATGTGTTAAGTCTGATAAATATATATATTTGTATATATATATATTTATAGAGATAAATTAAATTCCCACGTCTTGCTAAATTTTAACAACAGAAGTTGACTTGGCTGAACCATTGTTGAAATCTCCTAAAAATAAGGAGAAAATCAAACCCACGTTCTCATTCTTCTTGTTTAGTCAACTTTGGTCTTGCCATGATAGTAAGTCCCTATTTTGTTAAAAACCACGACAATAACTTTAAAAGGAACTGATATATCATGATCAGGACTATGGTAAGTTCAATGGAACTCACCACGTATGGTAAAATTTATTCACCTAGGGAAAGGTGGGCCCTTGTTTTAAAGATGACAAGTCCTATTTTCTTTTAACAAAAATAGAAACAGAATTCATACAGCAAACTATACTGGCCCACTTATAATATCATATAACTTCTAATAACAATTCAATGAGAGCTGCGATCTAGCGTAACTTACCACGTACTTCCTCCCTATTGGTGAATAACACAAAACTTCAGCAATTCCATATTATGCTTCCTCTTTTGAATATTTTAAAGAATTGATCCAATGTGGCAAGCTCATTGGAACTCGCCACATGTCGCATTTCCATTGGGCAAAAAATAATGGAGTAAACAATTTTTACAATAAATTAATAAAGAGAAGTAAATAAGTAATTTTGACCCTCTGATTGTCGGAAAGTAAAGTCCCGTGACTTCCGGGAGTCAATAATATGCAACCTTTTTTCACCTTTTTTTTTAAAAAAAATTTGATAGAAAGGCTACTAAACTTTTTTTAGTGTGATTAAATATGTAGTTTTACATCACTTTGTAATTTAGTTGTTATTCCACACAATAAAAGGTTACGGCGGTGCCATGCTGGTTGACCCAAGGTAGAAAGATTTTTAAATGAGTCAATGTCATGTTTCTATGGAAACAAACATTACAAAGATAGAAAAATTACCTGTATGTCCTGCTGAAGCTGCAACATGGATTGAACTGGCGGTCAACACATCAACTTCCAGCATCAGTAGCCTTGGAAAGTTGATCAGAAGATGCTTCACCACTTCAAGCCTTCCTCTCTCACTTGCCACAAAGAGGACACTCTCATCCCTACAGTTCACCTTATAAACAACCCAAGGATCAGTCTCCACCAACACTCTCACAATCTCCATTTGGCCTTCTCTGCATGCCTCATGCAGAGGTGTCTCCATCAATCCGTTCTCCATCGACATCGTTTCCGGCCAGATATTCAGGATCGCGGATGCCAACTCCACGTGCCCGAACCGGGCAGCTTGGTGCAATATGGTGTTGAGTGATCCAGGGACTGTTTGTTTGATGATATTTTCATCTTCTTGCGTGAGTTTGTGAAGGGCTTCGATATCGCCCTTTAGGACGGCCTCGAAGAGTCGGCGGTCCATTTTTCGGAGCTTTGGGAAGAGAGGGAGAAAACGATGGTGGTAGGAATTGGAGTTGCACGAATGGCATGTGTGGTGGAAGGGAAGTTAAAAAGGATAGAGGAGACATATTTTTCCACAACTGCAGCAGCATGGAATTTTCTCTACGGGGTTTTTATTCCACATACTTTAAGGGTGTTTGTCTCTTTTATGTACGTGTCTACCGAGGCAGAAATTTTAGTTTAGGGGCGAAATTAATACTATGTAATTAAAAATATAATTTTGCATATAGTATATATCCATAATATATATACCTCAAGAATAAAAATGAAAAAAAATGCAATGTTACTTAATAGGAAAAAAAAAAATTAATTGCGCTGGTTGTATTAATGGCGAGATATCACCTATTAATTAGACACTAGCACATATTGATATGACCCACTAAAATAAAGCAATTCTATTTATGTGACATGATACAATTGGTTGGTTGGATAATGAAGTATTATAGGTGCAGTAAAGTCTTTCTCTTGATTTATATCACGAAAAACTATTGCACTTGCGGATCACAATCAATTATTTTGTATAAGGTATTGCATGTAATTGAACATTAAGTGAAGAATAGTATAAAAATTTGTAGTGGGCATTGTCCAGTAGCATAGTTGGTAGAACTTCTAACTCTTCGAGCAGGTGTGTCCGTATTCAAATTCTCTTTTTTCATAGTTTGCCATGAAAAATAAATAAATAAATAAATAAAAATTTGTAATACTCTAGCTAATTCAATATGCCTTATTTCAATCTAGAGGGACACTCTCATAAATCAAGGTCAAGTGAACCCATTTGGCCGAGCACCATAAAAAATAAAGAACAATTTTGAATTCACAAAGTCGAATTCAGTCTTTTTCGAATCCCCCCTTAATCGTAGTTTCCCAAAAAAAAAAAAAAAAAAAAAAAATTGTAATACTCTAGCTAATTCAATGCCTTATTTCAGTCTAGAGGGACAATATGATAAATCAAGGTCAAGTGAATCCATTTGGCCGAGCGAAAGCTATGAATATTCACAAAAAATAAAATATAACTTTTCGGTAATAAGGAAAGAGAATATGTGGAGAGAATATAGTAAAAAATGAGCAAACTCCTTTAATAAGAAAGAGACAACTAGAGAAAGGATAACACAAGACCTAAATGTGAGAGTATAGAAAAACTATTTCTATATATGCATCTTCTGCGTAAATTCGTGAAGTAGAAGGAAAATGAAAGTCGTAACGTGGCTCAAATTGAGTTTCATTTTCCTTTCTTCTTCGAGGAAAAAGAACGCTACCCACTCAATTGTCGAGCTCTTAATTGGATGAGATGAGGGACCCACCCATAAATTATTGTACCTCATCATAGACCCATGAATTAATCACTTGTTAAGTCAAAGTCAATTTGTCTCTTATTTAAATTTGTAGATCAGCTACTAAGGGAAAATAGAACTTCATTAATATTTATTTATTTAGGCACTTTTGTCCCAATTGGACGAGAGTAATGATTTGGGTAATAACTAAAATAAGTAGTGCCCAGCGTTATGGGATATCATCCCACTAATTTGGTAATTTATACGCCACCGTGTTTTTCTTTTATTTTTTATTTTTGAAAAAAAAAAAAAAAAAAGACACGACAACAATCCACATCAGTAAATTTTGTTTGTCTTTGATTAAAATAGAATACGTGTTTTAATCAACCAAAATACAATTAAATAAATAATAAATTCATCCACAGGAATTCAATTTCAATTTTTACTATGCAACAATAATGGATACATAAATTTCTTCTCTAATCACAATCATCGAGAATAAATCACTTTTGGTTCATGGTAACAATATACCCGTCAAAGCAGGTGGATTTCAACTATAATCTCAATAAGAAAAGTTTGGATCTCATCGAATAGGCAAAAGAGGATGAATCAAATCAACAAATTTGGCGAGGCTAAACCAATTATGTGAACCGGTAAATGTGTAGTCAGCTTGAGCGGATGAACCCAACAAATCTCCCCCTCTGCCAAGGGTAAAGAATCCGTATCGACCATGTGTGGGACAAGTCAAAATATGTGTACTTCACTTTTCAAAAAAAAGTTGTCAAAATATGTGTCTGAATTTTTTTTATAATATTCAAACACGCATCCAACACGCCATGAATGTGTGCTAGACAAACTTGTTGCATTCTTAGAGATTAATTTTTTTTTTTATAAGTGCATTCTGGGGTACTTTTAAGAAAGTTGTGTTGAAGTGTAAATATGATAAATTGTTTAATATATAACTTTCCATAATATGGTAGTCATTACATAATTATTTAAAAGAATTTTTTATAAAATAATTTTATATTCAAATATATATATATATTTTATAAGTCTTATATTTAGGCTTATATTATAGTTCAAAAATTCAAACTCTTGCACGATTGACTTTGGCTCTCTCGTGTTCTCCCACCGACTATCGGTGAATGGTCTCTCTCTCCCTGCTTCTTCTTCTTCTTATTCTATTTCTTCACAAACCCTTGATATTTCTTTTTTTTCACCTTTCATAACATTGAATTTCTTTCTTCTATGAATTCACAACTTTATTTTTAACACCCTAATTCTTTTTTTGACAATCCCCTAATCCTCTTTCTTTCTTTTTCCCAGCAAAACACAATTTTTTTTCATTAGTAGGTTGATAAAAGATAATCTTACTTTTAATTTCTTAAAGTGTATATATATATATATATATATATATATATATATATATATATATATATATTTATTTATTATTCGCCGTGTGCCTTTCGTATTCGTTTTTTAATTTTTAAAAATTTGACGTATTGCAGTGTCCGTGTCATGTCGTATCCATGTCCCATATCCTTTTCCGTGTTTCTTAGCTTTCAATTATAGACACTGAATTATCCTTAGTATTGTCTCATAAACGGATGTAATTAAGTTTCTCAAGCATTATTTTTGTAAATTCAACCCCTTCACATAGCATATTGTCCAAATTGCTTTCATCAATTCAGTTTTCAAACATGCAGGTATTGCTGTATGGGATGCTTTTTCTATTTAATTTGAAGCTTCTAAAACATATGCTCAGAAATGATCCAAGAATTACAAATTCTAACAATAATGAATTTCAAGAAGAAATTCACTAATTGAAAGCAATGAATATACAAGTACATATTTATCTATAACAACAGATGGTGGTAACATGTGTATAATGCTACATACCTAAAACCTCAGGACTAGGCACTAAACCAAACTTGTCCTGCGTTAGTGTTCTATCTAGCTAGCTGTATGTGTTATTCATGAAGTTCCAATGGATACTATCTGGCTAATACAAGTGGTAACCATGATCGGAGCTATCAACATCCGAGTTGCTACTACACTCGCGACTCCCCTTCTTCCTCGTCTGCATCTCTGCGACTTGACTATTGATACTGTAAATGGGGCTTCCATCCTTGCTTCTGCTCTCTTTCTTCTTCTTCCTCCATTCCCATTTTCTACACCAATGTCTTGCCAGCATCACCCCTAGCCCCAAAAACACCGTCATCGTGCACCCTCCACCTACAGCCACCAATTCTACTGACACCCATCTAGTCCCCGGTCCATGTGGCATAATCGTCCATGTGGCAGCAATGTAGGCCGACGACATGAACAACGTGGACACCCACATGACCTTATGTGTCACCACCAGTAGTTTTGTCATGGATTTTCGCCTAAAAGGAATGACACTGACCAGAATGTTGACAATGCCAAGGGACAAGAACAATGCCATAATGTTGCACACCATGAAGACCTTGTACGCAGTGTGCCTACCCATGATAGCCTTTCCAGTGGATTGGTTGAACCCTCCAGGAGGGTTAATACCGGCTGCAAATGTGACCGTTGCTATTAAAACCGCCACTACTGTGATTGTGTTTCGCGCATTGCGTAAGCCCTCCAGTTGGTGCTCGAGCTGCTTGGCTCTCTGGTGATGGTGCTTGTGCCGGTGGTGAGACTCTGAAGTCTTCTTCTTGGGTATGTTGGGGCTGTATACTTGTGATCTCTCGGAGTTGGGATTGCTGCTGATCCGCCAGATTTCTTGTGATGCAGGGGGCAATTGCTCACTTCTCTTAGCACCTGCTTCTTCTAATGTCGGTATAATCACAAGGGCGCCTGAGTTACTAGCATCAGATGCAACTATGTCTAGAGCTGTGTCTCCATTGCGATTTAGAATATTCACATCCACACCAAGTTTAAGCAAGTAGGTCACCATCTATTCTCCAGGCATAAATATGCAAGAAAAATAAAAGGTATTACAACTCGAGACTTTTGATTCTGATACCATGTTCCTTATCATTTGCTTCAAAATTTTAAGCCGTTAAAAAGGGTATATTAATTTTAATGTTTAAATCCTCTGACAAGTCTTGTCAACACATAATGAAAGAGATATATCGAGCTAAAAAGGGCGAAAAGATCGAGAGGTCTTACAGTGGTGAGTTTTCCGGCAATGGCTAGGTGCAAGATGGTGTTGCCGTCATTGTCTTGCATGTTAGCAAGCTTTGTAATGTTGAGAGTTTCCATCAGGAACCTAACTGCCTCATACTGGTTGTTCTTCACAGCAATGTGTAGAACTGTCTCTCCATATCTTGTCACCATCTCAGAAGATTCAAGGCTCACTGAGAGAATCTCATCTAAGATGTTGACTCTCCCTTTAATGGCAGCCAAATGGAGCGGCGTTCGACCTTCTTGGTCCTGCGAGGAAGACAGGTCTGGATCCAATCTCAGAAGCTCCCTTGTTATCTCCAAGTGCCCTTTGCTGCTAGCTAGGTGCAGTGGTGAGCATCCATGTGAATTCTTCTTCCATGAAAAGTCCGGGCGCACCTCCAGTATTTCTTTCACTATTTCTGTAGCAAAACGTTCATGGATTTTACTTGAGACAATGGTGGCCAACCAAGAAGTAGAACGCAATTAAAACAATGGACGGAAAAATAAACACGTCACAAATACAAAGAGTACAAAAATTCATGTAGTTCGGGGTAGTATGTGCCTAAATCGACCATACACTGAGGAAATCGGAAGGTTATAGATTTCAGCTCCCAAATCCTTATTTTCTCTAACACCGTACGTTAAAATTATCAGTGTCCTCTCAATACACACCCAAAACTCTAAACGTCCGACTTTATACACTGTTACAAGAATTATAGATTTGGATCCACCACTACTAAAGACCGTGGCATGGTACTTATTCCTCATATTAAAAATAAAAAAGTAAGGGTGGCAAATGGGCGGGTTGGACCAAATTTGGGTTGAATTAAAAATGAACGGGTTAAATATGGGTCAAGACTCATATTCAACCCGCTCAGAATGGGTTAAAAATGAATGAGTCAAAAATATATAGGGTCAACCTGTTGTGACCCGTGGACTCATTAATTATTATTATTTATTTTTTTAATTATTTTTTTCCCAGAAGGTCTTAAAATTTTATTTAATAACAAATAAAAAAACAATCTCAAACTCAGCAATATTTATCGACTCGTTTTAGAGAGAGAGAAGTGAAGGAAAGAAAAGAAATATTGATGCTTTAAAAATAAAATTTTTTATGTTTACAAACATGGAAAAAGAAAATGTAATTTGCAAATTTGAAAAAAAAAAAAAAAAAAAAAAAAATGACCTGTGAAACCCGACCTATCTGCCAAAAATATTGATGTTTAAAAAATAAAATTTTCTCAAAAATTTTGATGTTTACAAACATGGAAAAAGAAATTTTAATTTGTAAAAAAAATAAAATAAAATTGTCTGATGAAACCCGACCGACCCGCCCAAAATATTGATATTTTAAAAATAAAATTTTCTTAAAAACTTTGATGTTACAAACATGGAAAAGGAAAATGTAATTTACATATTTGGGGAAAAAAAAAAAATTTGACCCGTGAAAATTGACCCGCCCAAAATATTGATGTTTTAAAAATAAATTTTTCTTAAAAACTTTGACGTTTACAAACATGAAAAAGGAAAATGTAATTTGCATATTTGAAATAAATAAATAAATTTGACCTGTGAAACCCGACTGATCCGTCCAAAATATTGATGTTTTAAAAATAAATTTTTTTAAAAAACTTTGATGTTTACAAAATGGAAAAGAAAAATGTAATTTGAATATTTGAAATGAAAAAAAATAAATAAGTAAATAAAAATAAATAAATCTGACCCTTGATACCCGACCGAGCCGCCCAAAATATTAATGTTTAAAAAATAAAAATTTTAATGTTTACAAACTTGGAAAAGGAAAATTTAATTCGTATATTTGTAAAAATAAAAAAAAATTGACCTGTGAAACCCGACTGACCCGCCCAAAATATTGATGTTTTAAAAATAAAATTTTCTTAAAAATTTTGATATTTACAAATATGAAAAAGGAAAATGTAATTTGCATATTTGGGAAAAAAATAAAATAAAATAAGTGACCCGTGAAACCAGACTGACCTGCCCAAAATATTGATAGAAAAGGAAAATGTAATTTGCATATTTAGAAAATATATCTATATATATATATATATATTGACTTGTGAAACCAACCCAAAATATTCAGGTTGACCCAACCCAATCCGATTTTCGGTTGAGGTTGGGTTGGGACTGGGTTGGGTTAGGCCAGCCCAACTTGCAGCCCTAATCGTGAGTGAGTGAATTTTAGAGAGAGAAATGAGTTGAGTGCAATATAAAATAGATATGTATTGTGTGTCTATTATATACCGGGTGAAATATGAGTTGAATATGGGTAACTATATTCAACCCATCTTGATTCTCAAATTAACTTGTTAAAAATTACCCAATCCATTTTTTACCTATCTTAAATATAGTTCACCCAAAACCATTAAAAAACGGGCTGATAATTTCTGACTCATTTTGCCACCCCTATTAAAAAGTAGGGTTAATTTCAGTGACACCCCCTCAAGTTCGGTCAAATATCACGTTGAAACAACTTTCGAAAATTACTATCACTTAGGTCCAATTTTACTTTTCCGTTATTAACACCGTTAAAATATATGAAAAGACATTTTTATCCATAATTTTTTAATCATATTTATTCCAAAATATCAAGTAACTAAAATAACCATTTTACCCTCATTTAATCACAGAACAATCTGCAAGTGAATCAATGCAACAAAGTAGCAGACAATGAATCAATCCATTTTGCACAAATTCGTAAGTTTCCCAACCCAATTTAATCACCTGGGCATGGTACATAAAAACCAAGGCCGTCGTGGTGGTTATGGTGGAAGGGACGCCTATGAAAGAAGAGTCCGTGGTGGTGGTTGATAAAAATGGGTTTTCTAAATCTAGGTTCCGTTTCACAGTTATATGTTCAAATCTATCATTGATACTCACAAATTAGGGTTATATTATATATATATATATATATATATAGGTCTTATATATATGTTGTATAATATATACGTATATAATCACAATTCTTAGGAGGCGATGTTGTCTTCTCTCTGTCATGTACGCTGCCACCTCTCATGGTCTCACCCTGTTGTAATCATAAACAACGACACCTGGTTTTTGTAATAAGTTGTATTGTTGCGACTGCCTAGCTGGTTAGCCTCATTCATTTTCCTTTGATTTTTGGTTGCTGTAATTCTAAGAGCAAATGGAGATGAAAAGAGATCTACATATATATATATATACTCCGTATATACTTAGTGAGAGAATAACATATATAATCAGTGATAGGAGGAGGAGAGAGAGGGATTCAATTTTTGGGCATTTTGGTGTTCTATGGGGGTAATTAAGTAATTTTATATGCAAAATAATCTTTTTACAAGCCATCGCGAAGTCAAAAGGATAATAATGTTATTCTACAAGCAAAAGTTGCTACATTATTGAAAAGTAACTTTTGAAATGTAAATAAAAAACGGATCAAACATTTTATAATACGAATAATAATAATTTTTAAAAATTATTTTACTGTTATATTTGACCAAAACTAAAAAATGACTTAAACTAACCCTAAAAAGTAATTGGCGTGAGTTTCAAATAAGTAAATAAAATAATAATTAGTGGCCCATGCACGCAGTCAACCATACACTTTCTGTGTGGTATGAACACAACAAAAAGATGGCCATGCCACGTGACAGTCCCTATCATAGAATGGGTACTAGACTTTTTTGAGTGTGATTAAATGTGCTGTTATCCATCACTTGTAATTTTTAATTGTTATTCCTCGCAATAATGGCAGGGGACCATGTTGGTTGACTCAGAGGTAGAAAGATTCTACACGAGTCAATGACCTATTTATATGATAATATCAATCATGGATCATGATTTGTCATATATGTCGATACATAAGGTATTATTTGGTTTGTAAAATTTTTTTTAAGGGTTGGATATCATTATATATTTTTATAAATTGATTAGTTCGATCAATATATATTAAGCTCGAGTCCATTACACTGTAATCATACCATAATTAATATTATAACTACAAACCGTACTTTGGACATCATCAATAAGACGAGTTTTATACTTTTTGATAATAACTCAATTATTATTGTTTTTAAGTCTTGTAATTCATGAATTCAAAGTTAAATCATTATTTGATGTCTCATCTTATCAATCCTCAAATATAAGTAAAACTGGTATAAATCTACTTTTAGAGTGTGTAATTCGCATGTGATATTATTGGATGATGAAAATCCAAGTTGTATCCTTCTTACTAGGTCATGTGTCAAGTCACACTGGTCCAAATTCTTCTTTTATTATTGGGTTTTCCACTGTGATTGACTAGCAAGTTGTCATAAAAAAAATTTGAAAACACTAAACTAAGTAAAAAAAAAAACATAATGCATAGTATATAAGAATCATGTAAAGTCATTTAACAATAACAACCGCTAAGACTTGTAGTTCAAGTGACATCTAGCTATCTCCTCATTCCTATTGAGGGATCAACCCAAGGATAAAATAGCACAGAAAATTTTTAAAATTTCTCCAATGTTAAATTTTGTTTTATTGTGATTTAAAGGTCACAAGTTCGAAAAATAAATAAAAAAAATACCTACTTTGTATATGACTGTAAAAGATTGCCTAAATCTTATCTTCAATCATTAGACTTGAAACTTCGTGTAATTGAGTTTGCCCTTTTTATATTAATAAGCACATATAGAATTCAGTTGTTTATATATATGATTCTGTATATATGTAAGAAATGAGTCCCAATATACAATGAATATACCAAACATTCTCGCAGGATCGATCAATACCCAAATATACCACTAGAAAGATAGAAAAATTACCTGTATGTCCTGCTGAAGCTGCAACATGGATTGAACTGGTCAACACATCAACCTCCAGCATCAGTAGCCTTGGGAAGTTGATCAGAAGATGCTTCACCACTTCAAGCCTCCCTTTCTCACTTGCCACAAAGAGGACACTCTCATCCCTACAGTTCACCTTATAAACAACCCAAGGATCAGTCTCCACCAACACTCTCACAATCTCCATCTGCCCTTCTCTGCATGCCTCATGCAGAGGCGTCTCCATCTCCCCGTTCTCCGCCGACCCCATCTCCGGCCATGAATTCAGTACGGCCGACGCGAACCCCACGTGCCCGTACCGGGCAGCCAGGTGCAATATGGTGTTGAATGAACCAGGAGCTGTCTGTTTGATGATGTCCTCATCTTCTTGTGTGAGTTTTTGAAGGGCCGGGACGTCGCCCTTTACGACGGCCTCGGAGAGCCGGCGGTCCATGTTTCGGAGCTTTGGGATGAGGGAGAATGGTGGTGGTTGGGATTGGAGTTGCAGGAATGGTATGAGGGTATGGTGGTTGAAGGGAAATAAAAAAGGATAGAGGAGACATTTTTTTCCACAATTGCAGCAACGTGGAATTTTCCTTTGGGAGTTTTATCAACAAAGTGAGGCCTTAAAAGGGTGTTGGTCTTTTGTGTCCGTACGTACACACACAACACAATTAAATATGTTAGTTGGACTTAAATGATAGGGATTTTTGTATCTAGAAACTACTTTTTTGGATAGTTTATATCAAGAAAACTTTCTGCAATCATGAATCAAACATTACCTTGTAAAGGGGTAAAGGGGTCCAGGTGTACTGGTATTGCTCAAGTGATAAAATGTCAGTTTATATTTTTAGGGTCGAATTTTTACTAACTCCTAACTTTCTAATTATTGTCAGTTAAAAAAATTAAAGGGGTCTTCATTTGTGGTTTGTTTAGCTTATGAGTGGCGGAGATTGCAAGTTCTATTGGTGTTTTAAATTTGAAATATTTTATGGTAGGAGTTAGAAAATCTCAGGTAATTATTTAATTTTTTATTTTTTAAAAAAATTTTCTTTTATGACTACTATTAAGTATATTTTTTTGAGATTTGAATTCAGAACCTTTCATTTTTAAAGGAAAAAGAAATATTAGTAGTATGTTAGAACTTTTTGTGGTAAGTGGCAGTCATTAATATACTTGGATTCCAACCATTCAATTCATCCATGTCTTATGGTTGTGGTTGAACATTAATTTTAAAATTAATATCAAAAGTTGAAATTAATATTAAAAGTAATTCGTCGTGGATTCTTACCTTCATTATTTTACATGGAAATAAAGGTGTTGTTGGCTCCACATCTTTTGTTCTATTTCACTAAAACTCCTCTTTTTTGGTTGTATTGTAGGATGTGTTTAATTATATGATAGAGAGAATCATTGTGTTTGTTTTGACATAAAAAAAAATTTCTTTTTTAAGTAAAATATATTTTTATTTTTATTTTTTTTTATGTTTGACAAACGTATAAGAGGTTGAGGTCGAAACTATATCATAGAGAGAATCTTATGTATGAATAAAAAAAAAAAATTATTCAAGAGCTTCAAATATATAATCATGAGATCAAACAAGGTCAAGTGAGCCCATTTAAATTTTATATTCTCCCAATCTTTTTTCCCTTTCTCCAAGTATTCATTCCCTCCATTTGGATAGATAAAAATAGCAAGAAATAAAAAGAACTAAAAAATCAAAAGAAAAATGAAGTGAATGAAAAGAAAAGTGATTTTTCAATATGTATTTGATTAATATGAAAATTTATTCAAGAAAATTGTTAGAAAATATCATATTATAGTTTGAATAACTAAATTACTAACAACTAGGAATAAAAGTTAATTAAAATTTTATCAATGATAGATTTGTGCAGCATAAATTGAAATTTTAGTCTCATAAAATTTCCTCTCTGACTTGTCAAGTGGTGTGAGCCCAAGTAGTAAGAGTATTTCAAATACATTTGTACTTTTTTTTTGTTTTTATGGTAAGAATGTTACGGATTAGTGGTTAAACTGTTAAAGGGCAAGTGTCTATTCAATTTCACTGATATTAAGAGTCAGATCCAAATTTTGATATGGTGTTACCTGGAGCTTGAGTCTGAATCATATTGGGTCCTCCCCGCAACCGTGAAACCAGGTGAACAGATAGTTAACGAATACATATATAAGGTCGCAAAAATTCCTAATTTTTCATTCATTATACCATATTCGTCATCTCAAGTAACATGGTGTTGTTTAGGTGTCACTACAAATTACGTATTTCTCTTATACTTTTTTTTCTTTTTCTTTTTTCCTTCTTAATTGGCAAAAAACTCATAAACCTATTTATTTGTGAAGGACTCCATTTGATTAGATCAAAATTAATAGTAGAAAGTTTAAAAAACACAAAAAAGGAGAGACAAATTTTCCAGGTGTATTATGATTACCATTAAAATTTTGCAAATATTGACAAAAACTCATAAACCCATTTATCTACGAAGGATTCCATTTGGTTAGGAAAAAAAAAAGAGTAATGATAGAGGAACCGAAAAGGAAATCGAATTTGACGTGGTTGGCTATACTTATCACGTGTTAAACAATTATTTTTTAAAAATGTTTAAATAAATGAGGTGAACAAAAACAATTCGGGATAATCATTTGGTTTCCCTTGCACTACTCAAAGAAAAAATAATAGAAAGTGAAAAAAAAAAAAAATTCCATGTATATTTGGTTACCATTAAAATTTTGCAAAAAAAAATTATGAAAATTTATCATTTTGTGATTTGAATAACATGAAACTTACCATATAACAAAGGGCATTATTGTAAGTTCATAAAATTTTTTTAAAAATCAAAATTTTCTTGTATTTAAAAAAAAAAATGAAAAAATTAAATAGTTACGAAAAATAATTCCAACTAAATTTTCATCTAATCAAATAAAGTGGTAGGACCAAGAGCCTTGTATCTATCTCTTGAAATAGATCGTGAGAGTTCAAGTCCATAAGGATAAATGTGTACTGCGTGAATTTCTTGTCAATAAAAATAATAATAATAAAGTGATATCACTATTTTTTTTTTCTTATTATTTTAAAATTTATTGATACATTGAGAAAGTATATCCACCAAAAAAACTGATTACGTGAAGACGATGGAAAAATTATTGCTAAAGATTTGCTGGGTAAAGTCCTGGAAGCAAGAAGGAAAATGAATATGAGTTTGAGGCACGTACACCTCTCATTTTCCTTATTGCTTCGAGGAAAGAGAGGGCAAAGCCTGAATATTCCGAATGAGGATGGAAAAATCTAAAGGAAAATGAAAGCAGTGGGCTCAAACCAAGTGTGCTAACAAGATAACTCTACGTGTGGGAAACCCAATTATATCTACGTGTGGGAAACCCAATTATATCTATAATTGGGTTTCCCACACGTAGAGTTATCTTGTTAGCACACTTGGTGTGTGTGTATATATATATATATATATATATATATATATATTATGGTTTGCAGTTATGTTATGAATTATAGTATCGTTTACGATTGCAATATAACGAATTTAAACAGACCGAATCGATCGATTCATAAAAGTACATAACGGTATCAAAATCTTGAAAAAAAATTATAAACTAATTGATACGTCACGTCAGGCATGAATCGGTACAACGAACCATAATGTATGTATATATATATATACACACCACTCATTTGTCAACCTTTAAATTGTAGGAAGATGAGATGATTGACCCCACGAACCCTTCTTGCCATATATTGCATTAAAAATAACCGTACCATCAGAGACTTTAATCACTTGTTTCTTTGGCCTACTAGAGTCCACCATAGAGTCGTGCATTAATTACTCAACCTGTTGTTTTGGCCTTCTAGAGCCAGTGCACTAGCCAAATTTGATTTTATCTCTTATTTATAAACTACTAAATTACCAATAAATTGATTGTAGATCAACAATTCAATAAGTTAAAATAGAATTTATTTATTAGGAAATGAAGACAAACATTTCGCTCAACTATATTACGTATAAAATACGGAGTAGTATAATATTGACTTTAAACTTTAATTTTAATTTTTTTTTTTTTTTTTTTTTTTAAGAGAACATAAACATTCAATTTTGTCCAATAACAATGCTGGGCCAATAAGTAGTAGTCGTCTCTAAACTTTGTCACATCATCCCATTAATTTCGTATGATACTCCACCTTGTTTTTCACCCACTTTCCCAAACAAAATATCTATATGCTCTCACATACGTATGCACGTGCGCATGACCGCGACACCTATCTTTCGTAACATTATTATGTATCGTTCAATTGGTAGGTAGGCTCAGTTTGTTTGAATATTCAATTGGTAAGTAAGCTCCATTTGTTTGCGTGTAAAATATTTTTTATTTTTTAATGTTTGTTTGTTGTAAAATGAGAAAAAATATATATATATATTAAAATCTAATCAATATAACTTACTTATTAATTTTCACTAAGTTATTTTGTACATTCCGTCCAATAAACTCGACTTCAACAACAACTTAACAGTGGCATAGCAACATAGGGACGAGTGGGGGCAACTATCCCACTGTATTTTTAATTTTATATGGAAAGATTTTTATATTTCTATAATTGCCCCCTCTAAAATTTGACACTTCACGTGTGTGTGTATATATATATATATATATATATATAACCAAAAGTCTATTCACGATTTTACAAAATATTATTTCCTCACAAAATATGATATTTTTTTTCACTTTCCCAAATTATTATCTTCTATCCCACTTTCCAAAAACAAAATTCATCAAGATATTCTTTCACATTTTTTATTTTACCACAAACAAATGGATTGTTTCTATTACATTTTCCTTTTTGCGAATTTTCAATGTTTCACAAAAAACCATTTACACTAGACAGAGACTCAGTCGTATTGCAATGCGGTAAATAGGTAATCTGATTTTTTTTTATATTTTTTTTATCATCTAAATTTACGATTATTATTTGATATTATAATTTTAATTAGAAAAATTATTAGTTATTACTATCAAAATTATTTTAGAGTTTGTTGTTCTTTCAAAATTTAGTTTATGTATTGTGTTACTAATTACTATTATCCAAATAAGATTTAGAAATTTTTTTTATTTGCTGTCCAAATCAATAAAATCACAAATTCACTTACTCTATCAAAATTTTCAATTAATTAGATTATCTAGTTAATTATAACTTATAAGGTTAGTTATCTTTATGTATTGCTTTTTATTTTATTATTTTTTATTTTTAATATGAATGAATTTTTATTATTAGTACATTGATAGTATGACAGTAGTTATTAAGAGGACAAATGTGAATGTACTGAATAGAAATATTATGAATCAATGTTTTAATTTTTACATATATTATTTTAATTCAAATTATATATATATATATATATATATATATATATATATATATATATTATTGCTACTAAAAATTGTCCCCACATAAAGAAATTCTTAGTAGCCTACGCCACTAACTTAGACCTCTGCTGAACACCGAATAAATAAAAATAAAAAAATATTTTACCAGAAAAAGAAAAATCTTTTCCCAAAAAAATATTTTACCCCGAAACAAATGTAGCCGTAGTG